GTTGTGTATGCTGTTCAGTGTCAGGAGGGCTGTGATCAGTCTTACATTGGGGAAACTAAACAGCCACTGGCCAAAAGGATGGCCCAGCACAGAAGATCAACATCATCAGGCCAGGACTCTGCGGTCTACACTCATCTCCAGGCCAGCAGTCACTCTTTCAGGGATGAAGATGTTCACATCCTGGACAGAGAGGAACGATGGTTTGAGAGAGGAGTAAAGGAGGCCATCTTTGTGAAAAGAAATCGTCCATCATTAAACAGGGGTGGAGGCCTCCGGGTTCAACTGTCCCCCTCTTACAATGCTGTGATTGCTAGTATCACTCAGCCCTTGGTGAGTAGTAAACAGCCATCAGTGTGCTAATGATCCATTGTTAGGCTGATGGTCCTTCTTGAGCATGTGATCAGCTGGTTTTGGTTGTCAACAGCAAAACTGGTTGATCCACCCTGAAAAGGTGCTTTTTAAGAGACTGAGCTGAAAACAGCACCTCAGACTGAGGAAGTCTCTCGGATGAGAGACGAAACGTTTCTACATTTTTTTTTTGTTTGTTGATTTGCTTTGTTTTTTTTGTTTTTTTTGAATGTCCAGAGGACCAGATTTAACTTTTTTAGATGAAACTTAAAGTGATCAGCCATGACTTGAAAGTAGTCTTCATGTGTCCTCTGCTGGATATATTGTACAATTACAGCTGGTTCCAGCATTTTAGGGGTGAAAATTAGAAGAGTTTATATCGTCTGATAATGGGACCTTTATCGCCGATATCGATAGGCCCCCACATGCCTATATCTCCCAAAATTTTCGGCCCGACCAGTATACCAGGAGGGCTGATAATTTTGGATTATAATTTTAATTATAATTTTGATAATAACTAGAGCTCTCCTGATGTATTGGTTGGACTCTAGTTGTCTCACAGCAAGAAGGTCCTGGTTTGGACCTGTGGTCTTCCTGTGCAGAGTTTGCATGTTCTCATGGTTGCGGGTATTTTCTCCAGAACTTCTGCTCCACCCCCCCACCCCCACCCCCCCAGCCCCAAAACATGCACGTTTAGATCCCCCTTGAGAAAGAGTTCAGTTATCTTAATGGATGTTTCTGGTTAAATTAACAAGTGGTACGCTGATGTCCCCCGTTGCTGCGGGATTCGAACAGTGAATGTAGTTTTTGAGATGAGTGTTTTTCAGGACTGGAACTGAACAGGAAATGCAAGTAAACCTTAAAGTTTATTCAATATTTTATTACATTATTGACGTAATTCCATTAAAAATGGCCTGAATTATTATGTTTTTACATTATTAGTTGCTGCAGGGAGGTTAGTGAGTGATGAAACGAGAAGCTTACTTAATGGTGTCAGACAAGACGCCTCAGTGAGCTCAAAAGAAATTCCTGATTGTTCTTCACCCGAACATCGTAACATGTAGTATACAGTCGTGGCAAAACAAGCACTGGCCATTTTCGTATCCCAGGTTTTCTGTATCAGAACATGATAAAACTGATCTAATCTTTATTGGGCTCTAAAAATATTCAAATTGAACCTCAAGTGATGAAAGAAAACCCACAATAGATTCCCCTCCATCATTATTTATTAACATGAAAAATGTGTGAAGATTCTTCATCCAGCTGCTTCTTAAACAGCATTAATATTCAGTACTGGTTGTAGAACATGAGGATGGAGGAGTTCTGGTCCACTCAGCTTCAGTCCATGGAGGTTTTCAGACATTTGTTTCTGCGCAGCTCTCTTTAAGTCCCACCACAGTATTTCAGTCAGGTTGAGGTCTGAACCACTGCTGCACACTGATGATTTTATTTTCCAGATGTTCAGTTGTAGATGAACTGCTGTGGTTGAGTTCATTGTTCTGTTGCATCATGACCCAGTTTAGTCCAGGAAGAGTTCACGGTCAACATCATGATGGAAGGTGCTCAGGTCCTGTAGCTGTGCATTATGGGTAAACATCTGTACTTCAGTCTTGTTTTGTTCCTGAACTCCTGATGTTATTCACATGAAAGTTTTCAAACGCAAGTGGTGATGTTTTTAAAAAGAAGAGACTCCTGCAGCCCTTCCGAACAAGTCATACTTGTCCAGCCCTTTTCTATTTTTCCCACCGTGACCTTTAACCTTTAACCTGCCAGCTGAGGCCTGTAGAGCCTGGGATGGAGCAGTTCTCTGAGCATTGCGTGGTCTGACCTCGCAGTGAATTTAAATGTCTTGTTTACCTCGTGTGAAACTAATCTTTCTCTCTGGATCAATGGACTCTAAATAGTTTAGAAATGAACTTTGACCTTTCCCAGATTGATTGGCAGCGATGTTGGCCTTTCCGAAGTTATTGCTGATGTCTTTCTACCTTGTCATTGTGTTTGCCTGTGTTCTCCATAGCAGCAAAATGGAGCAACCTTTTACTGGTGTGGTCACACTGATGACGATCAATTATTCAAAGCTATCAATCAGCAGAACCTCTGAAATCTTTTTGAACCTGAATATTTTTTCATGCACAGCTTTTCTAATTTGGCTTGTTTTAATAAATGATGACAAGTCAGATTCTGTTGTGTGTAATCTGATTCAGACCAGATCAGGTTGTTAGTGTAGCGTATCTAAAAGGCTAGATTAGCTTCAGAGCTCCACTACAGTCATATTTTAATAACGGGTTCTCTCTTTTTCGAGCTACTTGACAGATAGATATGTGACAGAGGTACTGTGCGTAGATGGTTTAATCAGTGACACGAGACATTAATTTTCTTTGACCCATCAAAATAAATGTGGTCATTTATTAACAGAATCAAAATTTAACATGAAAGAAAACATTGTACACTTGATTAGACTGATCTGGTTCTGATTAATAAAACTTGGCACGTCTTACTTAATAAAAACAACAGACATTTCTGAAGATATCTGGATTAATTACTGGCAAGATAAAAGTTTAAAGATGGGAAATGAAGAAGTTTAAATGGAGAGAAAAGATGGATGAGGGAAAGTGTGTTGACGAGGAATGGCACCCTTCATCCGACCCCAGCTCAGCCCCAGTACACTCGGTAGTGAAGCGACTCGTTACCTTTGCAGAAGATAGGTCAGCTCCGGTACGGAGTTCCATTTCAACGCTACCTTCAGCGTCTCCGGTCAGGATGGCTGAGAATCATCCGAAGTAGTGACGGTACTCCGTTCAACAAACACGCTCATCTCCTGGGTGGATACACAACAAGCTGTGAGTCCGTCAGAGGTTCCACTCAGATGTGGAAGACTCCATAGTCCCAACTCGACTCAGAAGACTGAAGACTCAGAGGCACTCAGAAGAGACTCAGAAGAACTCAAAAGACTCAGAGGAACTGACAGTTCCATGAAGTGTCGACTTTTAAAGAGTTCTACTTCGGGTCACTTTTAGGAAGTCCTGATTGGTTGAAGGAACCAACAGGGGTGTGGTTCTAGTGACGTCAAAGGGTTTTTACAAGTCGAGAAAACGGCAGAAATGTTTAGGAACAGACAGAGAAATGTTTTGGCGAAGTGACTAACACTGCAGGTGCCAGTTCTCCTGTTTACTGTCTGAGAGCTTTAAAAACACGACAGCTCGTTGCAACAACTTGTTTTCGACTGTCTCCGACTTTTGACCGACATCACTCCTTCTCATTTCAGACAGAAGATCAAAAAATGCATAATTACTTTGTAACATAGACATTTAACTTGATTTCTACTTTGAATGAGGATTAAAAATCATTAATACTGTTTCACAGTTGATTTAAAATGAGTGGTTCACTTCAACATTTAAAAATGGTATGAACTAAACACACTTTTGATTATCAAGATATTGTAAAATAGTAATGATAATATAAAAAAAGAGAGTGTTCTTTCAATTGATTAGTTCAGGATACAATTAGAAAGTCTCTGGATGAGCTAATTTGTATTTCGGGATTCAAATCAATGAAATAACAGTTCCTGTCCCATGAAGGTCTTCAGAGGCAGGTTTTGATCCAAGGCCTAGTTCACTACATTAGGATACATAAAACCCAAAGAACTGGACTGTAGCTCTCACTTAAATCACTGCATGAATCCTTTCTGCTGCAGCCACATTAACAATATTCATGGGGTTATTCATGTTAAAGTTAAACAGATGTTTGTTATCGTCACAACTGGCTGTTCCATGACTCAGCAGTAACTAGCAGCTCTTATCAATAGCCATTTAGGTTACCGTAGTTTAGGACACGCTGGTTACAAGTGCACTGTACACTGAGCTAATGACTGATCAATGGTGTGCCCTCTCATCAACCCCTCTCATGTTTGGGCCACATAGGAGTCATCCAGTGCTGCTGCAGGGAGAGACATCTGTCGGTAAGACCAGCCTCATCTGCTGGCTGGCTGCAGCCACCGGAAACCAGTGTGTGAGGATCAACAACCACGAACACACTGACATCCAGGAGTACATCGGCTGCTACTCGTCTGACGATCGAGGCAAACTGGTGTTTAAAGAAGGTACGAAGCACTAACCTTGTCAGATAAACACACAAAAACAATTAATTTTACATTAATCACTGCACCTGTTGTACAGTGGTGTTTTAATGTTTGTGAACTCTTTATAATTTTCTATATTTCTGCATCAATTTGACTTAAAACATCATCAGATTTTCACACAAGTCCTAAAAGTAGATAGAGAGAACCAACCCAGTTAAGCACATGAGATAAAAATATTGTACTTGCTCATTTATTTATTGAGGAAAATGATCCAATATTACTGATTTGTGAGTGACAGCAGAGGGTGCATACAGACTACTACTAGACTTCTACTTCAATTCAATTCAAAAATACTTTATTAATCCCAAAGGGAAATTATTTGTTGTTGTAACTCGTTATCCTCATTTCATTAAGAGATGTTATAGATACTGATGGTTGTAGACAGGAAGGATCTCTTGTAAAGGTCCATCCCACAGTGGATCCTAAGAAACTGGCTGCAGATGCTGTCCGGTCCATCCACCCAGAGTCCCAGACTCAGCTGGCCTCTAGGTTCCCTCGAGCTATAGGACCGCCTGAATGCTGGGCAGAACTCCTCCCAGAGCGATGGTCACTCCTCCCAGCAGTCTGCCGAGCTCCTCGTCACTGCGGACAGCCAACTGTAGGTGCTGAGGGATGATCCTGTCCTTCCGCGGTCATGAGCCGTGTTTCCTGTTAGTTCCAGGATCTCAGTGGTCAGACACTCGAGCACAGCTGGCAGGTGGATGAGAATGCATCCACAGAACGTCCTTTTCAACTCATTTGAGATTTGGGGCTGTAGTTGAGATATTATTTGAGCTTTTGAGATGTAAATCAGCTGCTGGTTGTAGAAAACTGCCTTGTTGCCATGGTTACCCATCATAACAAATGTCCAAAACCAAAAAAGTTTCAGTAAAAAATCCTTCCAGCTGCACAGCATCTGATACCAGAGGAAACAATCATCCAAAAAATGTGATTTACATCCAGAAAAAGAGGAATTAAAGTTTCCAAAAGCAAAATCTCAGAATGAAAGAGAGCTGCTCCAACATGCATCCACCTGGAGCGGCGCAATTTTAGAACATAACTAGACTCAACTCAACTCAACTTGACTTCTTAACTTATCTAGACTCACAACACAGCTGAAGCAGGGAGCAATACTGTGGAGCATATTTTGCTAAACAGATCATGGTAAGTTTATTTTAACTGATCTGTAAAATAAAATAAACAATACCAAATTATCTTCAATTCTCCAACCTGCTTGTCATTAGCTACGTGCCTCTCAAGTTGGCAAACCAACGTTTAGATAACCTAGCATAGGCTATTTATTGCCTTGTAAAACTTTACCCAGATCAATAAACCTACTGTAGAGGTCAAATATATCAGTGTTAGTAACTTTATCTTTATCGTCCTCAATGAAAAGCATTGTTTGCCTGAAATCTTCTTTGCAAAGAAAATAAACTCTGCTGAGGTCAATACTAATTAGATCTTCACCATGACTGACTGACTGTTTAAACAATGAGCAGGGAAGGTGTTTCTTTGTTTAATTTATATTTTTGTAACACACTTGATAACTTTATGGTGAATAGTTGAGGATATAAAATGTGAACGCACGTTAGGGAGAATGTTTCAAGACTTTAGGTGTCAAAACAGGTTTAAAAGTACCGTATTTTTCTGTGTAGAAGTCACGTTTTTTTTTTTGCATAATTTACATGCCCTTGGACTTATAGGCCGAAGCGACGTATTTATGGATTTTTTTCCCATATTTATTAACTAATTTTTGGCTGAGATACGACTGTTTTCATTCATTCTGACTGAAAAAAAAGAGCATTACCACTTTCAGCCACTTGATGGGAGCAGAGTAGTAATAGCAGTAAGGCATGCCGTTGGTTGTATCATGTAATATGTAAACGTGCCTATAATGACAAATTCAAAAAAGTTAAATTTTGAGACAAAAACAACTCGACTTTATTTATTATAGTTTACTTTATATTTTATTGTTTTTCTCTTGAACTTTTTTAATTTACCATGTCCTGGATGACTGAGAATTTGCACCAGCTATTAATGACTCAATCGGCCTGCCATATTCCCCCCACCTTCGTTCTGCTCGCTGCTTGGAGCAATTTCAGCTTCATTTTGCTGCACCGACCTGGCGAAATGCAGCTGATTTGACCATTAAAGTGCATTTATGAAGTAAAAGTTCATCTGAGACACACCTTTGCTATAATTTCGAGCAAACAAACAATTGTTTTAGGTGCTTTTCTTGTTAAATTTCGAAGAAACGAGCATCGTTCCTCCTTATTTTTCCTGTCTGTGCGCTCCCGTAGCACCGAGGCAGCAAATACTTCTGAAATGCAGCTGATTTTACTATTAAAGTCCTTTTATTAAGCAAAAGTTAGACTGAGACACACCTTTACTATAATTTTGAGCAAATAATTGTTTTTAGGTGTTTATCTTGTTAAATTTCAAAGAAATGAACAGCTGCTCATATCTCTGCGCGTGCATGCTTATGCGAATCGGGTTTTGAAATACAGCTGATTTGACCATCAAAGTGCATTTATTAAGACTGAGACACACCTTTACTATAATTTCGAGCAAAAAAATCAATTGTTTTTAAATATTAATCTGGTTAAATGCTTATTAAAGTCCTCCCATGCACGTTCCCGTGCTTTCCATTTGGCAGCCCATCGGTTTTTGGCACATCATCGGCCCACATTCCCGGGTTGTCAGTGGTGATGCGTAACAAACGCGGTGACGCATAATAGATGCGACACATACAGTGAAGCGACTTATTTATGGATTTTTCCACTTTTTTAGACGTTTGAACTGATACGACTTATAAGGTGGTGCAACAAGTACGGCAGAAATTACGGTAGCTGTTTATGTGTATGTTTAAGTATATAATGTATTTATGTAAATCGACCACCCCCTATCATTTGAGGAATCTGTGATTTCTTGTTTTTATAAGCTTAAAACACTCATCTTGAGAACTACAGTAGTCCCTTGTTTATCGTGGGGGTTCCGTACCCTGCCCTCCCACCCCCCGCGATAAGTGAATAACCGTGAAGTTGGTTAACCAAGTTCAAGTTTAGTTCAAGTTCAGTAAACTTTGTCATGACATGTGCCAGGGTGTAATCACACTCCCTCGTCACCTGTAAAGGCTCCAGTATACTGCCGCGTACGTCCGTTCACGCTTACGTACCCGTGTACGGTACGCAGAGGGTTCAGACATGATACTCCAGCGTACACCCCGAGCAGCTGCAGAGCAGCTTCACAGACAAGGGGCGTTTACCTTCGGGACAAATTGAGGTCGCCGATTGGTCATTTGCTGACACGCCTACTGGATTGATTGACAGGTCGGAAAAAAGAAAAAAAAGCGAGCGCTGGCAGCCTCAGCCACAGCGGTGTTCTGTGTTTATATGTTGTTAATAAAAAGATCTAAAAAAACCCCCAAAAAACAGGGAGAGCTGGCTCTACAGCCCACACATCAGACCAGCCCACCAGGAAATCTCCAGACCCTCCCGCAGCCACGCTGGACCTGAGTTTAATTAGCTCGTGACAAATTCCTTCATTTCTCACCATTTCAGTCATGACATCAACGGAGGAGGAAGAGATCACTGCCTCTTGGCAAGACAACAAAAGAAAAGGCCAGATCAGGGATGAAGAAGGGGAATTTAATACATTGGTGTCGCATACAAAACAGTCTGACGCTGGGCAGTTTATTGTGCGACACCGCGTACGCATATGCGGTCGTAAAAATTGGAGCTTTGCACGGACATGCCCTGGGGGGTACGCACGTACCTCTGTGTACGTACGTGCGTACCTCTGCGTATGGATGTACGCGGCAGTATACTGGGGGCTTTACTCCCAATCTACCTCCTTAAATAATTTAAATTTAAATACTGTAACATTTTAAATAAACAATCCATGCAAAGTGCTATATAAGTACAGTCCGTTTACCATTTCAGATTTTGTTTCCATTTCAAGTCTAATCTGTACTTTTTACATGCTCTAGGTGTTCTGATCGATGCCATGAGGAAAGGCTACTGGATCATTCTGGATGAGCTGAACCTCGCCCCCACTGATGTCCTGGAAGCTCTCAATCGGCTGCTAGATGACAACAGGGAGCTGTTTGTGACTGAGACCCAGGAGGTCATCAAGGCTCATCCCAGATTTATGTTGTTCGCAACCCAGAATCCTCCTGGTCTTTACGGTGGCAGAAAGGTATTTAATTTTATAACTAGAAAGTTCTGACCAAACCGTTCTAAAAGCTCTCTGAGGATTACGAGAATTATTAGCTACTACCATGAAGTAGATAAGAACTACATTTTTTCCACTACCAAAGAAATGCTGTCATTGTTTAACAGTCAGCTGACACAGCACGATCACTCAGGAACTTGACGTCCACTAAACCAAAGCAAGTTGCAAAGATCTACAGAGCGCTACTGGAGTTCTCTTTTGTGGAAAAAATGGTTCAACAACAAGCAGCTGTAGAAACCAACAGTAAACAATCGGAGCTACCAACAGTGAACAGCTCTAGCTAACGTCAACCAGTCGTAGCTGTAGCAGGTCATAGTCATAGAAACACTTGGTTCAAAGTCTTGCATAGCTCTAAACCATTTACAAGCATACTGGTTTTCAAGATAATGAGCCCTGCCCTCTTTTGGCAACATGTCACTATATTTATGTATTGTTCTCTTTCTGGCATTTTTTCCACATCATTAGTTTTTGTCCTCCGTTGCAGAGCAAAGGGGTTGGGGTGAATGCACCCTTTATATGGTATGCCTGTACATGTTGTGAGCATGATAGCTTGAAAAGTAAGTGAGGTACCAGCTTCCATTTTGGTGTGCAGCTACGTCTAGGTATTAAAAAAAAGTTCCTTTCGAAAATTTGGTTACCACGTCAAAATCATGTAACCCAATCACCCCTATCATTTGAGGAAACTACAGTATGCTTTTCTTGTTATGTGCTCTAGTTTCCACAACTGATTGGGGTGGCTGTCTTTGGTGGCCAAGGCTTCCATTGGTTATCCTCTGGCTCTACCACGGTGCCTCATTGTGGATAAATATGCTCTCGTCAGTCGCCAGGATCTGTCACTCTTCACCACCTCGAACAAGCAAAAAATACCCCCACCCCCTAAAAAAAAACCCTATCTCTGTTCTCCACAGTGCAACTCCTACCTACTTGAATATCTTGCACCAAAAACATTAAGGTTTACTTCATTCTCTGTTCAATTCCAGTACAGAAAAACACTCCTCTCAAAAACTACAAACATTACCATACCATACCATACCATAGCATAGCATAGCATACCATAGCATAGCATAGCATACCAGCTTTATTTATAGATCACTTTTTAACACCCACAGGACCAAAGTGCTGTATACACAATAAAACAATCATAGTCAGATAATAAAACTGATTAAAATGATTAAAAATTACATAATAAAAGTTGTACATGTTCACATGTACACAACATTCACTATTTAAAATCCTCAACGACGCTGGACAACGGCGTACCACTAGTTTTATTGTATTTTTTTTACTTTGAGCTCAGCTGCTTGTTTACTTGCAGTGTATCCACTAGTGTCTACCTGTTTTGTCACCACCAATCAGAGTGCTGTAATGCTGGAAATAATTCCCGCCTTTAAGTGCTGCTGCAACAAAACGGTAGTTGCCGTCTTTAATCTTGTGTAGCACTTTTAATTTGTTCAGTCTGATCTGTGCTGATTTTTAATGTTTGATATATCAGTTCAGTTGAACACAACGGGCTCAACTTCTGTCTCTGCTGCTGTTTGACATCATCTTTAATTCTTGCCTCCTCCTGTAGGTTCTCTCCAGAGCTTTTAGGAACCGCTTTGTGGAGCTCCACTTTGATGAGCTGCCCAGTGACGAGCTGGAGACCATTCTTCATCAGAGGTGCAACTTACCTCCATCTTACTGCACCAAGCTGGTCAAAGTCATGCTAGACCTTCAGGTAACCATCCTGTTTCTGTCTAATGTGTTTTAACTCCTGTTCTGGAGAATTTAAACAACCTCTCCATCTCTCCAGTCATTACGCAAAGGATCGTCTGTGTTTGCGGGCAAGCATGGCTTCATCACATTAAGAGATCTGTTCCGCTGGGCAGAGCGCTACAGGCTGGAGGAGCAGACAAAGGCCTCTCAAGACTGGCTGCAGCATTTAGCAGATGATGGTAAGACTCAGTAGATGGTGCCAGTAGGTTCCCAACCAACAACTCCATTCAGTTTATTTATGTAGTGCCTTTTCACAATAAAAGTTACTGCAGAGCACAGAGTTATCTCAAGAGTACTACCAAGTCCAAATCGTATCAGCTTATATTCAGTCCGTTTTAGCTTGAACAAATCTAAACTTTTTTTATTATAAATATTATATAGTTGAGACAGTGGCAGAGAACCACAAATACAGTGCCTTGCGAAAGTATTCGGCCCCTTGAACTTTTCAACCTTTTGACACATTTCAGGCTTCAAACATAAAGATATCAAATTTTTAATTTTTTGTGAAGAATCAACAACAACTGGGACACAGTCGTGAAGTGGAATGAAATTGATTGGATGTGTCAAACTTTTTTAACAAATAAAAAACTGAAAAGTGGGGCGTGCAATATTATTCGGCCCCTTTACTTTCAGTGCAGCAAACTCACTCCAGAAGTTCAGTGAGGATCTATGAATGATCCAATGTTGTCCCAAATGACTGATGATGATAAATAGAATCCACCTGTGTGTAATCAAGTCTCCGTATAAATGCACCTGCTCTGTGATAGTCTCAGGGTTCTGTTCAAAGCGCAGAGAGCATCATGAAGACCAAGGAACACACCAGGCAGGTCTGAGATACTATTGTGGAGAAGTTTTAAGCCGGATTTGGATACAAAAAGATTTCCCAAGCTTTAAACATCCCAAGGAGCACTGTGCAAGCAATCATATTGAAATAGAAGGAGGAGTATCAGAACACTGCAAATCTACCAAGACTCGGCCGTCCCTCTAAACTTTCATCTGGAACAAGGAGAAGACTGATCAGAGATGCAGCCAAGAGGCCCATGATCACTCTGGATGAACTGCAGAGATCTACAGCTGAGTGGGAGAGTCTGTCCATAGGACAACAATCAGTCGTACACTGCACAAATCTGGCCTTTATGGTAGAGTGGCAAGAAGAAAGCCATTTCTCAAAGATATCCATAAAAAGTGTTGTTTAAAGTTTGCCACAAGCACCTGGGAGACACCAAACATGTGGAAGAAGGTGCTCTGGTCACATGAAACCAAAATCCAACTGTTTGGCCACAATGCAAAACGATATGTTTGGCGTAAAAGCAACACAGCTCATCACCCTGAACACACCATCCCCACTGTCAAACATGGTGGTGGCAGCATCATGGTTTGGGCCTGCTTTTCATCAGCAGGGACAGGGAAGATGGTCAGAATTGATGGGGGGATGGATGGGGCCAAATACAGGACCATTCTGGAAGAAAACCTGTTTGAGTCTGCAAGAGACCTGAGACTGGGACGGAGATTTATCTTCAAACAAGACAATGATCCAAAACATAAAGCCAAATCTACAATGGAATGGTTCACAAATAAACATATCCAGGTGTTGGAATGGCCAAGTCAAAGTCCAGACCTGAATTCAATCGAGAATCTGTGGAAAGAGATGAAGACTGCTGTTCACAAACGCTCTCCATCCAACCTCACTGAGCTCAAGCTGTTTTGCAAGAAAGAATGGGCAAGAATTTCAGTGTCTCCATGTGCAAAACTGATAGAGACATACCCCAAGAGACTTGCAGCTGGAACTGCAGCAAAAGGTGGCGCTACAAAGTATTAACGCAAGGGGGCCCAATAATATTGCACGCCCCACTTTTCAGTTTTTTATTTGTTAAAAAAGTTTGACACATCCAATAAATTTCATTCCACTTCACGATTGTGTCCCACTTGTTGTTGATTCTTCACAAAAAATTAAAATTTTATATCTTTATGTTTGAAACCTGAAATGTGTCAAAAGGTTGAAAAGTTCAAGGGGGCCGAATACTTTCACAAGGCACTGTAACTTTCAGCAGTGCTGTGTCTGCGCTGTAATAAACTAAATCCTGAGGAAAACGCCACAGATAAATAATTTATGTCCAAATGTTCACACTTATTTTCTCAAGGGTTTTTGGATAAATGGGAGATTGGATATAGGGCTATAATTAGCCCAAACGCCCGAATTAATGTTGGTTTTCTTAAGTAAAGGTTTATTTACAGCAGCCTTAAAGTCATCAACCAGTCATTAAAGACAACGATCCAAACTGGGGATTTTAATTACAGGACACACCTCTTTAAACAGTCTGGTTAGGTGATTTAGCAGACAAGTTGTTTTATTTTTTTATGAATACAGTAGTCCCTCACTACTTCGTGGTTCGTTTTTCGCAGACTCGCTCTGTTGCGGATTTTCAAAATAAGATTGGACATGACGCACAGTTTACTGATTGATGGATGAGCCGCACGATCAGCATGGATTTTTTTATTTTAAAATTATTTTAAATTATTTAGCTCTTGTGTGCATCCAACAACTGCAGAGAAGCTTCCTTCTGCAGCTGATCAACTGATCTCCGTGCAGAGCGGAGAAGCGGGTGTGGCCAAGAGTGCATACTTATCACCGGTCTTCAGGGTACGGATCCCCCGTGATAAACGAGGGACTACTGTATTAATTATAGCTCAGAGAGCTCAAAAGTACCAGAACGGTCTAAACACAGCTGAGGTTCTAGTGTCACTTCTAAAGCTGTTTAGTTTGATAAAACCATCACCTGTGTTTAACTGAAGTCCTCAAAACGTTGCCTTGCTCAGGGTACATGCTGCTGGCAGGACGTGTGAGAAAGCCTGAAGAAGAGGCCACCATCCTGACCATCCTGGAGAAGCACTTCAAGAGAACAGTGAACCCCGAAGAACTGTTCTCTCAAGAACAAGTCACCACCCAGTTCAGTGAGTAGAAGAACAATGCTGTCTTTTTATGTCACCGACCCAAAGCACTGTACTGATCGAATGACGTCAGACAGCTGAGGGTACTGGGACCATTTTTTAAAGGGCCATCTGGTCTCTGTGTAACCAAAGCGAGAGTTGTGGCTGCAGTTTGTCGTTAGACATTGCGTCTCTCTGCCTCCATCATCAGAGCAGCGCCAGCTGTCATGAAAATGTGCAGCAGCATCCTGTGCTAATTAAAAATACTGTAAGAAACGGGATTTTATTTACGCAGAATTTAATGGAAAATTTAAAAAAATATACTTCTACTACAAAAACTAGGGAATGGGTGAGGTCATTAAAGGTGGTTCTCAGAAATAAAATTAAGTTTCTATTTCCCATCGAGGGGAACACGATGGGGTGGCACTGTGGCTCAGTTGGTAGAGCTGTTGTCTCAGTGAGAAGGTTGCTGGTTCAAATCCTGGCCTGGGACCTTTCTGGGTCGAGTTTACATGTTCTCTCTGTGCATGCATGGGTTTTCTTGGGGCACTCTGGTTTTCCTCCATAGACCAAAAACATGCATGTTAGACTGATTGGTAACTGTAAGTTTTCCCTAGGTGTGAGTGAGAGAGTGAACGGTTGTTTGTCTTGTTTGTCTCTGTGTCCCTGTGATGGACTGGAGACTAGTCCAGGTGTCCCCCGCCTCTCACACAGTGATTGCTGGATATGGGCACCTGCGACCCCCGTGACCTGAAAAGGAAGAAGCGAGTAAAGATAAGTAAAATAAAGTGCAATGCGTTGTCATCATTGTATGTTCCCACACAATGATGAAATTACCAAAGTCCATCCATGCTCAGTAATCCAGGTAATAATCCAACAATGTTCAGTCAGGTCATCTGGACAGTTTCTGTTTTTATTGAGATGTTTCGTCCTTCATCTGAAGGAGGAGCCACCAAAACAAACCGATTCCCACCACAAACGATGAAATTAGTTCTCTACATTTGACCCATCACACGAGATACACCCAGGTGGAGAGTGGGCAGCTCTGTAAGCACTCGTGAGCAATTAGGGATTAGGTGTCTTGCTCAGAGACACCACGACATGTGGGAATGGCTGGGAGTCGAACCATGACTTTCTGGTCACAAGTCGGCTGTTATACCTCTACATTATCTCGGCCCCCTATGAGGGAGGGAGGGATGGATGGATGCATGGATGCATGGATGGATGGATGCATGCATGCGTGGATGCATACATGCGTGGATGCATGCATGCATGGATGGATGGATGGATGGATGGATGCATGGATGCATGCATGGATGGATGGATGGATGCATGCATGCATGCATGGATGGATGGATGCATGCATGGATGGATGCATGCATGGATGGATGGATGGAAACAACACAGTAAAAGTGACTCGCACAAGAAACACACAGCTCAGAACTCTTTCTGTCAATGTACGGACAGATTTGAATTCATTCCCACAGATGGCCGTCGGTCAGAGGAGGTGACAGCAGCTGGTGCAGCTCTCGGGCCACAGCTCAGCTGTTCTGGACGGTCCAGGCTGCTGTTTACACCTGTGGACTGGTGGTGGACTTGGTTTTGTGTTTAGTAGGAAAGAGGTTTTCTTTATTGTAAACTTAAAAAATAGTTAAACTTTAAAGAAAAGTTTATTAATCAAGATTTTTCTGATAAACCTTAAAAAGTTTTTAACAAAAAAAAAATTATTTTTTTTTCTAAAAAAAAAACTTACAAAAATAAATGGTTGTTTACTAACAGCCAAAATGATTAATATAACATGAGATCTGTAATTAATGAAAAGTTATGATGGCATGGCAGCGTTGGTGGTGTGTCCCACATTGTTTGTCTTTAAGCATCCTTTTTGTGTCACGTTTGGTTTTTTGGGATCTTGTCACCCTAGACCTTGGAGATGAGGTGAGGAGCTCCATCATCTGGGAGCAAGTTGGAGTAAAGCTGCTGCTCCTCCTTGTTGAACAGAGTCAGCTGAGGTGGTGCAGGGATCAGATCAGCTGTCCTTCTGGAGGCATGTCCATCTGGGAGGAGACCCAGAGCATGCTGGGTCTCCTCTGACCTGGTGACCCATCGAGTACTGCCAGGGACAGGGAGGTCTGGGTCTTCCCTCTAGACCTGTTACCTTTTATGTCCAAACAGTTTTAGTGGATGGACGTCAGACATTTATTTGAGACTAAAGGAAACTGTCAAATCACAAAGAAAATATTTATTTTAAATCTTTTTGTAAGTGCAGAAAGTTTTTATGAAGTCAATAAGGCACTCGTTTGTTCCCCTGATGGCAGGTCCACTGACACACATGGTCTCCAGAGTACCAGAAGAGTTCCACCATGTGATCTGGACTCGTGGCATGAGGAGGCTGGCTGTGCTGTTGGGCCGGGCTCTGCGGTTTGGCGAGTCTGTCCTGCTTGTAGGAGACACTGGGTAAGGTTCACCAGTTACAAAACTATTCGAAACAAGATGAAACTTTTCTGTTTACCCAAATATTTCTTATTCAAATGTCAGTCGGACGAATGCTGTTTTAGTAAATATGTTTATTTGTGATGAAATTCATGCTCAGGTTTTATTTTCTAACTTGTTTCTCCCAGATGTGGAAAAACCACTGTATGTCAGCTTTTTGCTTCCCTTGCTGGGAAGAAGTTCTTCTCGGTCAACTGTCACATGCACATGGAGACATCTGACTTCCTGGGAGGCCTGAGACCCGTCAGACACACACGCCAGGTATTGCTGCAGCAGTTGGCTTGAATGAGCAGAGAGCAGGGGGTGAAGAGATTCACATGTTGATGCAGCAGCTGCTTCTAACAGACATTGTGCTCAGACTCTTCAAGACACTGGCTGATATACATATTGTTAAAGTTCTGTTTTAGTTTATTTGAGTTCTTTATTACAACCTGCAGTTATACCTAAAGCCTGGGCACAATCTTACTCAGGGTTGAAGAAATTAGATAAATGATTCTGAGAAAAATGCATCAGGGTGTAAGTAGGGCTGGACGATATGGCCCAAACTTTTATCACGATACATCTCTTAATTTCGGTCAATATCGATATAAAAATATAAAAGCCTCAGAAAAACTGTACAAATTAATGTTCACCTTTTATTTGTGTTTAGCCTTCAAATAAATTTGACATCACTGTCAAATAAACACAAAACTCTCAACTTTGTCAATATTAATAGTTGTGACTTTAAACAACAACCTAACTGCATGTGTTTCTCTCTTGATACAGCTGGGGGTGCTGTTTCAGGGACACTCTGGCTCAAACATTTATTGAGTTTCATCTTCTGACTCTCAACATATTCTATCGAGTGGAACAAGTTAGATGTTCCCACCGCTAGTTGGAACGACTCCGTCACATTTTGCAGCACACCGACTGAAACCTGCAGTTTATCAGATCTTAGAAAGCCGAACCACTTCCACGCCGCCAAATTACTCTTTCCTCTCATTAATTATGTTCCGCTTTCTCTTCGCTTGTGAAAGCTTGTTCAGTCACATTCTGACGGTCATGGGCACTCATTTTGAAGCGAAACCAGGGTTACACCAGTAGCCTAAATATGTTTCTAACGCAGATGCACCGATCCGATATAAGTATCGATATCATTACCAATATCGGAACAGTCTTGATCGGGTATCGGCAACAATGTGACCGATCCATGAGGACAGGAGCTGATTGCTATTTTTTCCTCTTATTTCAGCTCCTTTTTTATTTTAATTATTTAGAATTCCTGAATATTTGAAACGTTTGACGTTTATTTTTTCATGTTTGACCAGAGTTGTCAACCTATTGTTTTTGTCAATTTCAGTTTCTTTATTATTCATTTTACATTGGGTGTTCTACTCATAACTGCACTGACTGAACACATTCAAGTTGTGTTTTTACATGTTTGACCAAGCTGGTGTGTTTAAGTGTGCTGTACTGGTGCAGTTTGTAATAAATTTGTAATTCAGTACATTTGTCTGCTTTTAAAAACAAATATTAAGTTAATTCAGCACAGTTTATTTTCCTGTATCGGATCGGTATCGACGGATGGTAATCATATCGATATCAGAAGTAAAAAAATTAAAAGGATCGGTGCATCCCTACGCCTTACGTGACTTTTATGAGTATAGCCTCTTTTAGTTGGCCTCTCTTGCTAAAATGGACTTTCTTTTTGTGGTGGTACCAAGTGGTTCTCATTAAAATTCTGTGATTTACAAGGTACACCGGTTCGTAGATCTTACAAAAAAATACTTGTGACATCTGAGACAGGCGTGCCAATTTAGAAAAGTTTATTTACATTTTTATAAATACTCTCTTTAAATTTCTATGAAAAAAAGGAGGAAAGAAACAAAACAAAACCCAGGAGCTGAGGTTACCGGATGAAGGCCACCAAACCAGCACAGCCCCGGACCCCAGCAACTGGAAAACAACATTAATACAGGGCAACCACCAAACTAAGTCTAATCAAAAAGAAAGTGAAAAACAAATAAAGGCCAGCCCAACTAAATATCTAAATTATACATTACAATATGCAAAGTAAATGGGCTGTAACCAAACAAAATAAGGAAAACTATTTAAAGACGATAGAACTTTATCAAATACTCATTTTAAAAGTCGTCGTCCAGACCCCAGTGTGTAACACATGACATGAGTGCTCAGGGACCGCGCCCCAAACAATTTGTGGTGAAGTCCAGTGAAGCAGCCACAGGTGTCTGAGGACAATTAAGTGCAATAATCTGGAGAACCCAAACAGCAGTGGTCCTCCACAGAGCCAGAACACCGGTAATGTTCCGTAGAGACAAAGCAGCGGTGGTCCCAACCTCAGCAAAGGGCCTATAAAATTCAGTCAACTAATCACCAACAGTAGTAAATTTGAAGCTGACAATGAGTTGGGTTTCAGCAACTCACCTGCTGACACACACATGCACAGGAGGAGGAGGAAGAAAGCAGCAAGCTTGGTGTTCACCTGTGATCACACCAAGATGAGCACTCTAAAGATCAACTATAGTGCAACAAAAGGAAGACCCCTACCCCACGAAGGCCATAACAGCACGCACAACACGATCAGCTGCTCAGCCACAGCCAAACCCCACAGGTTGCAAGCCACGTAGTGGGAGCAGGAGGAAAAACAGGTGCCAGAATAAGCATTACCACCTCCTTTTATACTCCACCTACCTCATTTACCAGGAAGTGACGTTTCTCTAACCAGTTATATTTTCATACTGCTACACTTTCACAACTCGGCTGACCAGGAGTTTAAAACCGTTAAACTGTACGCCTGCAGCTCCACCTACACATACAAGCTGTATAGGGAAGATCACCATGTCATCACACGCCGTTCGTTTTATACATGACCACTCACTTTTTCACTAATTGAAATGAAAATGCTCCGATCCTGCACTGTGGTTGGATGCACAGATGACTGGGAAAAGGGGGAGTAGAATTTCCTGACACATATACAAAGTAAAAACGAGCCAGATGGAGGAAATGTGGCTTCTTTCAATCAACAAAAAGTGCTGGTTCTGAATAGTGAGGACAGTGTTTTCGGCGTTTATTATCCTATCAGATAGATTAATATCTTTGTTTTCAGGCAGGAGGTAAATCTCACACCATGTTTGATGCACGCTGATCTGAACTGATGCTGAATAAATAAATAAAAACAGCTGTCTCAGAATGTGAGACCTATTTTTGCTCAGGAAGTGCAAGGAACATAACAGAAAATTATTAATTAATTTATTTCTAATGACAGTCCACACAAAAAAATACTGAAATTCAAAAATAATATTTTTCCAGTAGTTTTTCCACAAGAAGGAAATGTTAATTTTGTGAAATATAAACATTCCAAAATGGGTAGGATGCTCTTTTTGCATAAAACTAAAGGGAATTTTTTTTTTTCTGGCAATACGTATATTTCTCATGTTAGATTCATGAAGAATAACCTGCTCATTTTACGATGATTATTTCCAGAAAATGAATATTTTTGTAACCCATTAACGTCCATGTATGTGTTTTACTATAGGGGTTGTGAGTTATTGTGCCAAGTTAGAAATGAGTGTTTTCCCAGTAGCTCAGGAAAGACTCAGATGTCCCAGCTTTTCACTAGCCTTGAACGCAGCATTACTTGTGTGGATCTGGAGCGGTAAGAAAGTCTCAAAAGTCACCTGTACAGGCTGATCCGTGTGCAGCGGTGATTTGTGCACGTGTATTTGACAGTTTGGATGCACAAAGTTTTCCTACTTGTGTCATGATCTGCGGCCCCCGCTGGCCCCCCATCTGCTCACTTCCCTGCCTCTTCATGACATGCCATGTTTCTGCCCCTCTCCTTCATGTTTTGTTTATCTCTCAGCTCCTGTCAATCTGCTCTTCAAGTCTGCTCATGTCACTTCTCTGTCACCACGCCCCCTCAGCTGATTCACCACAGTCACCCTTGATGCCTCTCACCTGTTCTCTCCACTACTTAAACTCCATGCCCACACTCATTCGGAGCGAGGTTGTTACACCTACCATGGTCCCTGATTTTCAAGCCTTCACAGTTTCATGCCTAGACCTGAAGCCTTGCTCTCTGGATTATTGGCTTCATGCCTGTTTCTTGGATTTTTCGCTTTGCCTGCCCCTTTTGGATTACACTTTCTGCCACAGTATAGACCTTTGCTTCCTCTTCTATGACCACGCATCAAGGTTATGTTTTTGGATTTGTTGATTTGGGACTCTGACTCCTGTGTATGAACCCCACTTCACCTCTCGGACCCTGCTCTTGGATCTCCCACAAGCCATAATATTACATGCTCCTCTGCAGCGGCTCTGCTCCAGTCTGGTTGTGACGTCATCCTATCCTACTTGAGGTGGCCCCCACCCCTCCTGTCTGTGAGGACCTGTCATCTCAGCTGATCCTGACTCTCACCTGAAGCTGCAAAAAATAAATAAAAACTATTCTCGTTTTTATTTTTGTGTCTGGTCATTCTGAATCTAAAAGCCTAAATCTTGACAACTTGTGCATTTTGAAATGTGCACGTTTGAAAAACTCTTCTTGTGCATCTTATTGTACAAACCTTGTACTACTTTTGAGACTAATTTATCTTCATACATAAGATCCCAACTAAGACTCAAGCTTCTTGCTGTGAGGCAACAGAGCTGACCTCTGCTGCATTGTGCAGCCCAGAATCTCATATGTGAAGACTTGAATAACAAGTTTTTCTGGTGTGTGTGTGTGTGTGTGTGTGTGTGTGTGTGTGTGTGTGTGTGTG